AAGGAAACATTTCAGCATTTCGCATTCAGATGAAAGAAAGATGAAAATACCGATTACCAGGGCAAATAAAGACTGATAACTGCTTCTTTCTGGACGCATAAATCAGGTTTCAGGCGCTAGATGGAAATGGCTTCAGCAAACTTGAGGAGAATCGAGCTCTTTTGCCTAATGATAGTTTTGAAAGACTTTTCAACGTTTAACTCATGACGCGTGTCGAGAAGATGCCTGGCGATAGCACTGTTTAAAGCATTTGTTCCCTTTAGACATAAGCTTTTTTGTAGATGTTCAGAAAATCGTAGATATGCCCTTCTTTCTGTCCTTCCAATGTAACTGCTCCCGCAAATACATGTAAATTTGTATATACAGTTGGAGTTAACATGAGAAGGATATCTATGGATTTTTGATTGCACCAAGGAGCAAGTTGTTTGATGGACGGGGATGGGCTGAGCTGCAGGATAGGCTATGGCAATTGATGTACTCAGCCTTCTGTTGATCATTACTGCAATGTTTTCACTTTTATAATCAAGCTGAATGTGAACTGGCTTTTTTCCCACTGTGATTTGTTTTACATTTATGACTTCAGATCTTCCATACATGTTGATGAAGCTTTGAGGGTACCCATTGCTCTTCATTAACTTTTCAAGAAACCCAAATTCTTCCTCTAATTTCTAATACTGAAATTAACTGAATTAGTGCTTAATATTGAATACTAAACTAGATTTCGTATCATTCATGTTCAGTATGTATTACATAATTGACAAAAAGGTCAAATAGCACAGTTTATGAATTATATTACGAAAATGCATTGTGCTTTGATTGTGAAATGATCTGATTCAAGGTCACTAGAAAGTCATGGTTTCTTAAACGTCTTGTTGTGTTTATGTAACCTTTCAGAAAGGCGTTGAGATGTCATTTACAGTGATAACAAATGTATATGTGTACCACAGATTTCGAATAGACGATGCAGTATGTTAACCTATTACGTCACGCACTAAATTTCACTGGTCTAGGCGTTATAGTCAGACAGTAGACAATAAGAGCTGAATCAGTATTTAAGGAATTCTCGAATAAATCAATGCTATCTACGTCGTTCTCCATTTCTTAAAGAGCCAAATCACCATTTTAAGTGAGATAGTGTTTCCAAAAAATTTATTCAGTTTATATATTTCTCGTATTGGTCATTGAGTACATGCTGTGGGTAGGTTTGAGGCATTTTCTACACTTTTCTGTGAATAACAACTTTATAAAATAAAATGCTTTTGACGAAGAGTTACTCTTTACAGAAACATCACTTTCAAGCTGTACAACTGCTCACGTATAGTTGATTGATTGTCTTAGTAACAAAATGATTATATTCCAAAGATGTGTCACTAGAATTGTAAGTTTTAGATAGCAATTTACGTAATGTCAGAAGCATTAATCGGATAGAAACTAAAATAAAAATATTCAAGTATTGGTTTGTAGGGATTTGGTTAATTGGCGACAGGATTTCATCATGAGCTGGAATCATTTGGAGAACCATTGGAAAACCTGGAAGTACTAGAAAGCTGTTTCGTCAAGCTAGTTCGGGACTCTTCAGCAGTACGCACCCACAACGTGAGGTTGGAACCCAGGACCTTCTGGTTACAAGGCGAGCTCGTAGACCATTTAGCCACTGGGACCCAATCCAATGACCAATGAATTCTAACTTCTGCCACTTCATGATATAGCGCAACTGCTAGCCAATGTCTTCGGCGAGTATTTGTCCTCACATCCGACCTACTGCACCCTACTAGTCACGAGTTCCCACTGGAATCCCGAAGACATTGGCTACCGGTTGCGCTATATCGTGGATTGGCAGAAGTTAGAATTCATGTGCCATCGGATCGGGTCACAGTGGCTTAATGGTACACGAGTTCGCCTTGTAACCAGGAGGTCCTGGGTTGGAATGCCGGTGTGTGTAGTGCTGAAGAGTCCCAAACTAGGACGAAACAGCTGTCCAGTACTCCCAGGTTTTCCAATGGTTCTCTAACTGATGTCAGCTCATGATGAAATCCTGTAACCAATAAAATAAAAATAATTAAGTAAATTGAGCACCATATAAAACTCATAGGGTTGAGTAGAATTCAGTTTAAATCGAGCGAGAGTCGAGTTAACAACAGTGGTAATAAGCGGTAGAAATGTAATTGGGAATGAGGGGGTGGAGGAAAACTATACAACTAAGCAACAGAAAAACAAGAATTCGGTATTTGGTGTTAAGATAGATCAAGTCCATTGACGATTTAATGACTGGACAAACTTCCTCTGTATGCAGACTTCGGGTTTTAACATGTGAATTGTCATTACTTCTGCCGTTTGAAGAAGTTAGATTCGTACTCTGCCAGAAAGACTGGTGTCCTGACTCGACCAGGTGTTCCAGGATAGAGCTTCAGTGGCATGTTTCTCCTCCTTTATAAAACAATGACTGTGGGTAAGTCTTCAATGATACATTTTGGAAGCAGACGGTGGGTATGGCCGACATGCCCAGCTCCACACAAGCAGGTGACCTGGTAAATGCACATTGAACAGGCTGATGGTGTTGGCCTATTCTTCACTTTCATGAGAATCATTGGTTAGGTAGAGGAGGTTAGTCAGAGTTCAGCCGCGAAGAAGGTTTTCTTCAGTGACCGAGATAGGCTGTTTCTCAGTATTTCTGCTGATAAGTGTCTATTTAATTGTAGATTCAAGTAGAGGAGGTTTTTGAAAGCATAAATTGTGGGAGGTTTTGGTGGTTTATATTTTTTTCAATGGATTTTGTGATGAAACGTTTCGGGGTAACCATTTTTAGTGGGGATTTTCTTCAAGGTATCAGAGATGCAAATTCTGCGGCACAGTTAAAGGATCAGGTTTTTTTTGTGTATGGAGGTACTCAACTATGAAAGTTAGTGAGTTCTCCGTTTCATGTCGGCTTTCTGTAGATGGATACCCTTGGCGTTCCATCTTGTTCAAGTTTTGTTAACTGAACATTCAGGAAAGATATTTTTGTGTCGAACCTGATCTATCTCAACACCAAATACTGAATTCTTGTTTTTCTGTTTCTTAATTGTATTGCTTCCCTTCCCCATTCCCTATTACATTTCTACCGATTATTGCCACTGTTGTTAACTCGACTCTCGTTCGATTTGAATTGAATTCTACTCAACTCTATCAGTTTTATTAGGTTTCTCAATTTACTTAATTATTTTTATTTTAGTTTCTATCCGATTAATGCTTCTGACATTACGTAAATTGCTATCTAAAACTTACAATTCTAGTGACACATCTTTGGAATATAATCATTTTGTTACTAAGACAATCAATCAACTATACGTGAGCAGTTGTACAGCTTGAAAGTGATGTTTCTGTAAAGAGTAACTCTTCGTCAAAAGCATTTTATTTTTTATCATTTAATGGGGATTTTTTAAGAATAATTTTGTTCACCAGTCAGGTAGTGTGCTTCAGCAATACAACAAACAGAAAGTGCTGAGTAAAACATAAGTGTGTTTGTGGTTATAAAGATCTATATATTAGCGGTCACTACAGAAAGTGATGCGATAGTATACTATACAGTGTTGAAGAAAGGATAAAAAGTGATTATCACTATGATGTTTATTTCCCATAACTTACACTTGTCGATACTCCTTAAAATTGAATTTCAGGTATTCTGGGAGAAATAACCAGTTTTCTTAAGATATATATTATGAAAACTGCTGAAAATAGACACTTTCAGAACTGTTTGACAGCCGTCTCGCTTTACAGTTACATGCTGAAATTGCAAATTTTATCCTCGGTTTACTAATGAAAATTTTGTCTGGAAAGACAATAAAATCTATGCAACTGAACCAAATATTTTGGAGAACGCAACTACAACAACAAAAAAGAAGCGTCCACCTGAACTACATATCTTCAGTATGTTAAAGTGACGAAGTTATTTCATTTTAGGTTTGATCACGAGATAACACTAGTAAGAGAACCACTGGAAAACCAGTAGGGAATAATGGATGATTATTTTGTCCTAATTCGGAACTCTGTGCTTCGAATCCAGGAAGTTTTGGTTGCAAGGTGTACTCGTTGACCATTCAATTACTTGAACCTGATCTAGTAGCCCATGAACTTCAACCTCTGCCGATTAGCGATATATATATATATATATATATATATTGCAACCACCCGCCGATGTCATCAATAAATAACTGCCCATTTACCTGATTTAGTGAACCACACTGGTCACGACTTCTCAATGAAACTCCAATCAAATTCCTGAATCGAATCAGTCACTAGTGGGAATCAGACTGAATCTCAAAATTTGGTTTACAGGGATCCGATTAGTAACAGGTTTGATGACAAACTGATCTAAGTAAGAGAACCATTCGAACTATACTCGTTGGATAGTCTATGAGCTCACCTTGTAACCGGAAGGTCCTCAATTTGAGCCTCGGTGGGTGAGTATTGTTAAAGAATCCCAAACTGGAATGAAACAGCTCTATAATACTTTCAGGTTTTCCAATGATTCTCTAACTGATGTCAACCCCAAGATCAAGCCTGCAAACAATCAAATCCCTTCAGATCAATAGCTGATATTCCATTTCAGTTAAACTAAATAAAAGGAAAACACGATCATTATCTTTTATTTACAGAATAAAAAAATTTTTCGAATATAAATAGATGTGTGTTTTCTTATCCAAATTACCAAGCCTATTGAAAGTCACATATTTTCTTATTTTTCTTATTGTGACTGCAAAACAAACAAACTGATAAAAAACAAAGAGTTGACATAAAGAGATTTTCTATTCCACGACAAAAAATATGTCAAATCAAACCAAGTTTCTTTCTATTTCTGCATAGAATAGATACATGTGGGAATGATTTCATTCCTGAGTTGTTGTTGTTGTTATTTTTTCTTCCTCAACTTTTGGATCATAATCAACCAATCAGATTGAGCATACTTGATGTCTCGTTCAATATAACATGTACACTGTCGACAAAAAATTACAAAATTAGCAATGTTGGTTAACCTTAAATATACATTTTACTATCGGAATTGATTTGAATCTGTTAAGAACACACTGTAGCTTTATTTGTAAGTTATGTACTTGAATTAAAAAAAAAGCTTTCAGCATTACTTTTTCACTTCTTATTTTAATGGTTATATCTGTGATATATAATCAATGATTGGATTTCTAATGTTGTTTTTATAATATATATCATGGTAATTGCTTAAAATAGTGTGAATAAAGTTAGACGAGAATTACTTTCACATTTGAAACATTAAACCGATATTTTTGATTGAATGACTTAGCCGGTGACACTGACTAATTACCTGTTTATGTAAATCAAAATGACAGGGTTTAATATTCATAAAAAAACAATTATTTTATTTTATTTTTTTTTTATGGTTACAGCTTGATTCCACACCGTATTTTTGGTACAAGTGTGGAATTTTCAGCGTGGATATCGGTAGCCCAAAATTCGCAGGCCAACCATAGATATCAGGTGTGCGTCGGCGAGGGCTCGAACCCCGGACCATATGCATGGTCGGCGAGAGTCCTAACCACTGTGCCACCGACGCAAAGTTAGATTAGTATAAATTTAATCAAATCAAGGAGTTGGCTAGAAGTAGCGATATATATCATTAGAGCTTTTGAACCAGAGCTCAATGACTGAATGCTAATTTGCACTCCATTTAAGCTAAGAGCTTTGGGTTCAATCCTTAAGGGATTTACGGGTACGCATTCTTGAAGAGTCCACTGTGAACAAACACCAGTTCAATGCTCCTGCAACTGAATTTAGTCCGTAATGAAATCTACTGAAAGTCAGTTATATCTTCTTAAATGTGTTGAACTGTCTTCTTCTAGATGATAGATAACAAACTTTATTGAAGAAAATTCTTACATTCATTGAATTGTTTTCCAAATATATTTGATTCATCTGGTGAAATACTAGATGGAAATTTGCCGTCTTTGAATGATACTAAAAACGGTTCTTGCTGTTGATTACAATGATCAAATCAATTTAAAGAAGTAAATTGATGAAGCCAAATAAATCTCTAGCTGTATATTATCTACCTAATTTTTAATAAGTTATGTTCTCAACGATTTAATGGTATTGGCGTCTGTCTCAGCGGTTGATGATGTAGATACGAAACATGAGTTTCTCGTAAGACAAAGCCAAGTAGAACGGAGCCGAGATAGGAAGCTGCTCATCAGTTGAAATCTAACGGAAGTAAATACCTTTGGAGTTCCTTTCTGAAGAGTTATCATCAGCTGATAAATGTTTTCCTAGTTTATAACTATTCATCATGATATTGAATTGAATTTTTGATTTTCCCGTCGATTGATTGGACCAAAGTGCTCGGTTTCCGTTGACATGTCGGCTTCTTGTGCAGATGCTTCGACGACGTTTGGGTATTTAATTAGTATACAATTGGTAGATGGGTTCGAGCCTCGGTGGGAACATCATCACTCACTGAGAAATGCAGGTACATCCAGATGACGAGTCCCAAATAGGACGAAATGCGCTTTATCCTGGATTCCACTGCTGGCCACCATCCACCATTTGTATTCATCATGATAGTTAGAAAAATTGTATTCTTGTTATACCTAACTCACTTGTTACTTGTAACAAAACAGTCTGTAATTATTAATTACTGAAAAAAGTTAACCTCATTTTAAATTAAGCAGCTGATAAAGCGTGTTTACTGCTATCGCTAAAAAGTCTTAATATTTTGTAAAATATTGATGCAGGTATTACAGTAGCTTTCATGGTCTACAAAAGCAAAACACAATCTTTTCTCAAGTATTGGTTTGTAGGGATTTGGTTGATTGGTTACAGGATTTCATCATGAGCAGAGGTTAGAATTCATGGGCCATTGGATCGGGGCACAGTGGCTTAATGGTCTACGCGCTCGCTGGCCTTGTAACCAGAAGGTCCTGGGTTCGAATACCGGTGGGTGCGTACTGATGAAGAGTCCCAAACTAGAGCGAAACAGTTGTCTAGTACTCCCAGGTTTTCCAGTGGTTCTCTAACTAATGTCAGCTCATGATGAAATCCTGTAAACAATCTTTTTTGCTGAATTCTTATCCCATAAGATTAGTGTCCAAAGGACACTCCGTATCAGTTTTTTGTTAGATATAGCACATGGTGAAACAGAATTAGTTACTGGATGACACTTCGAGTACACTGTATTGTTGAAAATCATATCCGTTGTAACTACAAAACTTTGAAACCTGTTTTAGATAGTTGTGTTTCTTCAGTTTCATTTGTCCTAGGGGTAGAAGAAGTTTTCAGATGTCCACTACAAGTATGGAGACACCTATGTTGCATATCTTTGCAGTTGATTCGGCAAATAAAGCGTCAGTTATTAATCCCCCCTCCACTATGTTACATTAGATTTTAACACTTTCACCTCTTACTATCCTATTTTATGGTTATGTGTAACTGCATTTAGTGTTATAGCTGAGCTATTTTCTAGATTTCTTATGTTTTTAAAGTCAACCAAACTAGGTTTTGGTGAATTTCTGCTCATTTCCCATCTAATTAACCTCTTCCTGTTACTTAGTCAATAGTGGAATCAGCAAACAAGGACTACAAAAAACAGTACAAAGTGTAGATGTGAGGTTGAGGCCTTAAGTTCGCCTCAGAACTCTAAGGGAACAATAATAACAATAATTGAGTCTATGTGTGTTCGAAACGTCATCCAATGAATAATTCTGTTTGACTGTGTAGCATATAGCTTGAGATTACGCTAACTTGTTTGCTAATCTTTAAGAGGAAATTACTTTTCTGTACAGAATTCATAAATATCATTAAATATTGGTGTTGATGAGCTATGAATATACTTGAGAATAACTTTCACTAATGTAAGTGGTGAACTTGGGCACTGTGGTAGAATGTAATTCCATATTAGATAAGTTTTTTTTTAATTATCACACAGTGTTGCAGTATTGACAACTACATCACATTGTGGCAATTAAAATAAACTTATCTAATATGGAATATGTCAAACAAGTAGTTAAGACAATCTGGTGATATTATTTCTTTCAGTAACTGAATATTGTGTTAGAAGACTAGTCGGTATTATGCAGTTATCACGGCTCTTAGAATTAACGCTGTGCATGTTGCCTAGCAGGATATAATTTATGAGGTGGAATGCTCGGTCATCAGAGAAAGTTATGCAAGAATCCTAAAGCGTACTTGAAACGCTGTAGACACTTTATCTGAGTTCCAGTATACTTAGAAAGTTGAGTCGTAGAGTCTGAAATGTCTGTTTGACTATAAAGTGGTGAAATATAATACATATACTTTTCAGAACAAAATATTTAGAGCGAACAATTGTTTTCAATATATTCTTCTTCAGGCTCTACAATTATAAATCCATTAATGTAAGCATACAATAGCCAGTAAAGGCGAATTAGAATCATATCAGAAAGTGTATTGTGGAACAAGTATGAGCTAGAAAGATTTAAAAGTACCCTAATCGATTCCTGCTACCAGTTTAAGAACAGCAAACATCCCGCCAACAGTCTACTTACAAAGAAACACCGAGAGGCATTACGTGACCTCAAAAAGAACGAAAATCTGATAATAACTAAACCTGATAAAGGATCTGGCACAGTTATCATGAACAAGAGTGATTATTTAGACAAAATGAATATCATTCTAAACGACCATACGAAATTTCAAAAGCTAAGCAGTTGTAAAGACACAACGGAGGCAACCGAACGCCAAATGGCTAAGACACTAAAATCATTAGTTGAGAGTAATCTGATTCCTAAAGAAACACTCGACGAATTGAAACCCTCAGGTACGCACACACCAAGACTTTATGGTTTACCGAAAGTCCATAAGCCGGGAGTACCACTACGTCCCATCTTAGATATGTGCCAATCCCCTTATCATTCTACAGCTAAGTGGTTGGTAAAGGCACTAGAACCACTACATCGCGAAGTAGTGAAATTCAGTGTAAAAGACGTATTCAGCTTTGTGGAAACTACCAAAAGCTTGAATGTAAAGGGAAAGAAAATGATGTCACTGGATGTAGCATCATTATTCACCAACGTCCCACTGCTTGAAACAGTCAACTACATATGTGACCAGCTGATAAAAAAGAAAATAGATGTAGGAATCCCACCCGAAAAGGTCAAAGAATTATTATTGAAATGCACTATGAATGTTCAGTTTATGTTCAATAATGGTTTTTATAGACAAGTTGATGGGGTAGCCATGGGATCACCTTTGGGCCCTTTGCTAGCGGATATTTTCCTGGCAAAGCTTGAAAATGGTCCACTCAAAGACACGATTAAAGGGCTTGACTATTATTGTCGATACGTAGATGATACGTTTATCGTTTGTAATAGAAATCTTAATAAACAAGAGCTTCTGAATACCGTTAATAGTGTTCACCCAACTATTCAGTTTACATGTGAAGAAGAAGACAATAACAGTTTACCTTTCCTAGACGTCCTACTTACCATGAAGACAGACGGATATCTACAAAGGAAATTATTTAGAAAGAAAACTTGGACGGGTCAGTACACCCATTTCCATAGTTTCACACCGATTCAGCATAAAAGAAACTTAGTTAAGTATCTTAGCTACAGAATGAATTAAGGAAGAAATGCATAAACTAAAACTCACACTGCAAGAAAATGGATATCCACAGAGCTTCCTAAAAAAGTATATGTCAATACCTATAGACAGGGTAAAGGTGGATACCGTAGACAAGAAACCTTTGTATCTTAAGTTAAGTTACAAAGGGGAAATTGCAGCTGACATTCTAAAGTGTCGACTCAATAGAGCAATAGATAGAACATTTCCCGCAGCTAAATTGGTACTAAACTTCTCAACTAAACCAGTACTCACACAGCAAGTAAAGGATAAATTACCAAAGATGGCCTCATCAATGTGCATCTACGAATTCAACTGCTCATGTGGAGCTAGTTATATTGGCCGTACTCAGAGGGCTTTATCCATGCGCGCACGTGAACATGTACCTGTATGGTTGAGTAAAGGAGTAACCAAAGGCATAAATAGTGCAGTCTTAGCCCACTTGGTAGATACTGGACACCCGATAAAACTTGA